ACAAAGCCACCGTGTTCCCCGAGGGGCTGCACCGCCGGCTCCGGGTGGTCGAGGCCGCCCTGGAGGGGACAGAGGAGGAGGAGGCGTCCCCCGATGTCCCCAGGGACTTGGTGGCCACGGTGGCCGAGGCCAAGCGGGTGTGGGATGCCAGCGAGCGCCTGTTCAGGTGTCACCTGCTGGGGGCACTTGGGGACATCCGGGAGCGCCTCTCCTGTCCCTGTGGTGGCCGCGGTGGCAGCGGGGTGGCCCAGTGGTGCCGAAAAACCATCGAGGACATCCCGAGGCTGCTTCAGGACGGTGACATCACCGCCGTGACGTCAGCGGGGGAGTGACATCACCGGTGTCACCTGTCCCCTCCCTGCTTGGGATTGGGGACAAACGTGGGGAATTTTCGGGGAATTGAAACTGTCCCAAATCCTGATGGGAATTCCTGGGGTGACGTCACTGGGGACACTGACGGAGGTGGGGGTGGCTCAGGGGCTGAATGAGCCCCCTCGGTGCCTCGCAGCTTTCAGCTTTCCGCCGTGCCTGCAGCACAGCCACGTTATAAATGACAATTTAATAGCTGGCTTTTGCACTTCTGTATCGGCTTTTGCACATTTTTATTGATCACCAGCATTTTGATACGGTGTTTGATACTGATATTGGTTATTGATGATTCCTTCCACGTGCTCGCTGGTGCAATAAAATCTGTCATTTTAGGTATGCACTGTACAGCGTTTGGTTTGGGGTAAATTAGGGAGAAAACTGCTGAAGGGGCTCTTTTAGAAAGTAGATTTAAGTGACCTTTCACCTACTTGCTTCAGGAAAATATTTCTTTGGAGGAAAGCGGAAAAAATCTGTTTGTTTAACAGGCAAAGCATTGGCCAGCACAAAAAATGAACAATATCAAACAACAAAACCTCTTGCTGCTCCAAAAGAGAGGACAAACTCAGAAAGTCACTCGTGGGCTGTAGCTTGGCTCGCTCAGTCTCTGATCAGTCTTTTATCTTAAAGTGAAAAACTCATTTCTGGGCTGGACAGACCGACGGGGACACAGCTCAGCGTCGTAAAGTCACCGCAGGACGCGCAGAACCAGCCTCAAAGGTGAAAAACTCATTTCTGGGCTGGACAGACCGACGGGGACACAGCTCAGCGTCGTAAAGTCACCGCAGGACGCTCAGAACCAGCCTTAAAGTGAAAAACTCATTTCTGGGCTGGACAGACCGACGGGGACACAGCTCAGCGTCGTAAAGTCACCGCAGGACGCGCAGAACCAGCCTCAAAGGTGAAAAACTCATTTCTGGGCTGGACAGACCGACGGGGACACAGCTCAGCGTCGTAAAGTCACCGCAGGACGCTCAGAACCAGCCTTAAAGTGAAAAACTCATTTCTGGGCTGGACAGACCGACGGGGACACAGCTCAGCGTCGTAAAGTCACCGCAGGACGCGCAGAACCAGCCTCAAAGGTGAAAAACTCATTTCTGGGCTGGACAGACCGACGGGGACACAGCTCAGCGTCGTAAAGTCACCGCAGGACGCTCAGAACCAGCCTTAAAGTGAAAAACTCATTTCTGGGCTGGACAGACCGACGGGGACACAGCTCAGCGTCGTAAAGTCACCGCAGGACGCGCAGAACCAGCCTCAAAGGTGAAAAACTCATTTCTGGGCTGGACAGACCGACGGGGACACAGCTCAGCGTCGTAAAGTCACCGCAGGACGCTCAGAACCAGCCTTAAAGTGAAAAACTCATTTCTGGGCTGGACAGACCGACGGGGACACAGCTCAGCGTCGTAAAGTCACCGCAGGACGCGCAGAACCAGCCTCAAAGGTGAAAAACTCATTTCTGGGCTGGACAGACCGACGGGGACACAGCTCAGCGTCGTAAAGTCACCGCAGGACGCTCAGAACCAGCCTTAAAGTGAAAAACTCATTTCTGGGCTGGACAGACCGACGGGGACACAGCTCAGCGTCGTAAAGTCACCGCAGGACGCGCAGAACCAGCCTCAAAGGTGAAAAACTCATTTCTGGGCTGGACAGACCGACGGGGACACAGCTCAGCGTCGTAAAGTCACCGCAGGACGCTCAGAACCAGCCTTAAAGTGAAAAACTCATTTCTGGGCTGGACAGACCGACGGGGACACAGCTCAGCGTCGTAAAGTCACCGCAGGACGCGCAGAACCAGCCTCAAAGGTGAAAAACTCATTTCTGGGCTGGACAGACCGACGGGGACACAGCTCAGCGTCGTAAAGTCACCGCAGGACGCTCAGAACCAGCCTTAAAGTGAAAAACTCATTTCTGGGCTGGACAGACCGACGGGGACACAGCTCAGCGTCGTAAAGTCACCGCAGGACGCTCAGAACCAGCCTCAAAGGTGAAAAACTCATTTCTGGGCTGGACAGACTGACGGGGACACAGCTCAGCGTCGTAAAGTCACCGCAGGACGCTCAGAACCAGCCTCAAAGGTGAAAAACTTATTTCTGGGATGGACAGACCAACGGGGACAGAGCTCAGCATCGTAAAGTCACCGCAGGGCGCTCAGAAGGACAGACCGACGGGGACAGAGCTCAGCCTCGTAAAGTCACCGCAGGATGCTCAGAACCAGCCTCAAAGGTGAAAAACTTATTTCTGGGATGGACAGACCGACGGGGACACAGCTCAGCGTTGTAAAGTCACCGCAGGGTGCTCAGAACCAGCCTCAAAGGTGAAAAACTTATTTCTGGGCTGGACAGACCGACGGGGACACAGCTCAGCGTTGTAAAGTCACCGCAGGGTGCTCAGAACCAGCCTCAAAGGTGAAAAACTTATTTCTGGGATGGACAGACCGATGGGGACACAGCTCAGCGTCGTAAAGTCACCGCAGGACGTCTCTGGAGCGGCGAGTCCGGGGTCCTTTGGGTGCCTCAGGCTTCAGCTTTTGTGTTTTTCAGATTTGTGCTGCTTTAGCGTGCAGTTCTGAGCTTCGTATTCGGGGATGGTGAGCTCTTTTCACAGAGCAGGGAGACAAAACAATTCCTTTTCTAGCTGGGGACCAAGGACAAATGATCCAAATGTCAGACTCAAGAGCGTAAAAAAAGGCAGAATGAAGAGAGAAAACAGGGATGGGACTTCATCAGCTAAAGCTGCCGCCACCCCCTGTGTCCCCCCCATCCCCCACTGCCCTCTCACCCCCAATGTCCCCTCTGTCCCCCTCCCCACCCCGTCTCACCTCTTGGAGCTCCTTGCTCACTGGGGACACCTTGGGGACACCTTGGGGACACTCCGGCGGTCGAAGGAGCCTTGGGATGTCCTCGATGGCTCTCTGGCACCGCTCGGCCACCCCACAGGCACTGGGGCTGGTGGGATCACCATCGATGTAGCACTTGATGATGTCATCAACTGTCCCCAGCAGGTGATCCTTGGCCAGGCGGGCGTTGGCCTCCCACAGCCGCTCAGCCTCGGCCACCTTGGCCACCAAGTCCTCGGCGACATCGGGTGACGCCTCGTTTGTCCCCTTCAGGGCGGCCTCGATGTCCCCAACCCTGCGCTGCAGCTCCCGCGGGAAGGCGGTGGCTGCGTCACACGCGGCCACCAAGTGCTCCAGCAGCCCCAGGGCCGCCTCCACCTGCTGTCTGTCCTTGGTGGCCCTTTTTGCCCGCTTGGCAGCCACCATGGCATCTCTCCCCACCTCGGCTTCATGCCCGGCCACCACCTTGGAGCTCTTATGCCTGCCCAGGTCCTGACCCAGCTCCACCATGACCTGAGCTGTCCCATCACGGGCAGCCTTGTCCTGCAGCGCCTTGGTGGTGCTGGTGGCTGCCTTGGTGTCCATCCTGGTGTCCATCCTGGTGTCCATTCTGGTGTCCCCCTTGGTGTCCATCCTGGTGTCCCCCTGGGTGTCCATCCCGGTGTCCATTCTGCTGTCCCCCTTGGTGTCCATCCTGGTGTCCATCCTGGTATCCCCCTTGGTGTCCATCCTGGTGTCCCCCTTGGTGTCCATCCTGCTGTCCCCCTTGGTGTCCATCCCGGTGTCCCCCTTGGTGTCCATCCCGGTGTCCCCCTTGGTGTCCATCCTGGTGTCCATCCCGGTGTCCCCCTTGGTGTCCATCCTGGTGTCCATCCTGGTGGCCCCCTTGGTGTCCATCCTAGTGTCCATCCCGGTGTCCATCCCGGTGTCCATCCTGGTGGCCGCGTCCCCGCAGGCCCTGCACAGCTCGGTGGCCTCTCTGGCCAGCCGTGCCCAGCTGTCCGCGAGCCCGTCCACCGACCTGTGCCACACGATGGCCGCCCTCGTCGCGCGCTTCCGCGAGCTCCGCGCCACGCTCCTGTAGGCGCCCAGGGCCTGGCTCAGGGAGGTGACAGCCTCACCGTCGCTGTAGGTGACGCCGTGGTGCCAGCAGGTGCCACCCGCGCGGGACAGGGTGGCCCGGAGCTCCGCGGCGAACCTCTCCAGGTGCCAGCACGGGCACCACGGGGACACGAGCAGCATCTCGTCCTTCCTGGGCAGGGCGGCCAGCAGCTCGCCCAGGACGGCCACCACGGCCACCTGCGGCTGCAGCAGGGCCGGGGACAGCTGGGGAGGGGACAGGGGAGGTGTCAGCGACATGGTGGCACTTTGTGGCCTCCTGCCGTGGCCCCTTTGTCCCTCCGCGCCGTTGTCAGCCTCTTGTCCCCGCTGCCACCCCCCGCCATCCCTCAGGACCCCGTCCCCCCCCAGTGTCCCCTCTGTCATCCTCTCCCCCCGTCACTGTCGCACCTCTTGGGGCTCCATGCTCACTGGGGACACCTTGGGGACACCTCGAGGGCGCTCCGGTGGCGAAAGCGCCACGGGGAACGGCACGGCGAAAATGGCGGAGCCGCCTCAAGAGGGGCCGGGAAAACCCGAGCGGCATCATCGGCAGGCGCCGGGAAAGGGGCGGGGCGAGGTGACGTCACGGCCCCCTCACACCGTACCGGTACCGCCCCAGTGTATGGAAAGCTGCAGGATTGGGGCGCTTTGGCTGAATCCCAGGGGATTTGGGGTCCATCCCAGAGGATTTAGGCTCAATCCCGCCATTGCCAGGCGGATTCCGCCGTTCCCGGCTGGATTTAGGGGAGAAGGCGGAGCTCTCTGAGGAGCGGGCGGAACTGCCCTCATCCAAGATGGCGGCGCTGCTTCAGTGGAAGAGCGGGAGCTGTCTTGGCTCTCTTTCGAGGCCACAGGGGTCCTGCAGGGGTTTAGGCCGATTTTGGGGGGATTTAGGCCGAATGTGTGGAAATTTTGGGGGGACTTTGTCTGAATTTGCGGGATTTAAGTGGAATTTGGAATCGCCGTTGCCCCGCCCGCCTGTGGGAGCCCATCCAGGACCGGGCGGAATTGCCCTCACCCAAGATGGCGGCGCTGCCTCACGCCAGAGCCGGCAGTTTGCGCGGGTTGAGCCTGGCGAGCGCTCCTGGGGGAAGCTGCTGGGTGGATTTGGGCGCTTTGGCTGAATCCCAGGGCGTTTAGGCTCAGCCCTAGGGGGTTTAGGCTCCGTCCCAGGGGGTTTAGGCTCCGTCCCGCCATTTCCAGCCGGATTAATTCCGCCGTTCCCGGCTGGATTTAGGAGGAAACGCGGAGCGCTCTGAGGAGCGGGCGGAACTGCCCTCAACAAAGATGGCGGCACTGCTGGAGCGCGGGAATCAGAAGCCGCGCCTGGCGGAAGTACTGGCGGAAGTTCCCCCGCGGCGGCGTCAGCGGCCACTTCCGGCGGAAGCGCGGAATTCTGACTTTGATTTTGTTTTTATTTTTTTAATTATTTCAAATATATTGTTTTTTTTTTTTTCCCCTCTTCCTAATTAATTTCATTTCTGATTTGGAGTCTCTCACCTGTTTTGCTTTCAAACCAGATCCGTTTTCTGGAAATATTTTGTGTTACAGGTGGAATATAATTAAAATAGAGCTGTCATAATTAGAAAGATTTATTATTAGTAGTATGATACAATTACTATAATTATTTAGCATTTTATAATTATTTTCTATTTTTGTCCCACCTGGACCAGGGCTCGGGGTCGCAGCGAGCCGGGATTGAGACAAAAAACCCAAATATTAAAAAAATTAATAACAATTAACTAAAAGAAATAATTTTAATAAATTACATTAAAATTTAAAATTTGGCATGAGGAACAACCAAATAATCTCAAGCCGATAATTGAAATAATTAATAAATAGCTAATGAATTCTTGAACGATTTGAAATGAATATTGTAAAAAATAAATACTTTAAAAATCCCTTTATTTGGGGGCCTTGGGGACATTTGGGGACACTGGAGATTTTAGGGACATTTGGGAGTTTTGGGGACATTGAGGGGATTGGGGACTTTGGGGACATTTTGGACATTTGGGGACTTTAAGGATATTGGGGAGGTTTGGGACATTTGGGGACATTTGGGAGTTTTGGGGACATTTGGGGACATTTGGGGACACTGGAGATTTTAGGGACATTTGGGCATTTTGGGGACTTTAAGGACATTTGGGAGTTTTGGGGACATTGGGGACAGCGGGAACTTTGGGGACATTTTGGACATTTGGGGACTTTAAGGACATTGGGGAGGTTTGGGACATTTGGGGACATTTGGGAGTTTTGGGGACTTTTGGGGACATTTGGGGACATTGGGGCCATTGGAGATTTTGGGGACATTGGGAACTTTGGGGACTTGGAGGACATTTGGGGACATTTGGGAGTTTTGGGGACTTTTGGGGACATTTGGGGACATTGGGGCCATTGGAGATTTTGGGGACATTGGGAACTTTGGGGACTTGGAGGACATTTGGGGACATTTGGGAGTTTTGGGGACATTTGGGGACATTTTGGACATTTGGGGAAATTTGGGGACATTGAGGGGGTTGGGGACTTTGGGGACATTTGGGAAGTTTGGGGATATTTGGGCATTTTGGGGACATTTGGGGACATTGGGGCCATTGGAGATTTTGGGGACATTGGGAACTTTGGGGACTTGG